TCTCCATGCTCTGATACTGCTGAAGTTTGGGCCTCCGCGGTCACTTCTGTTGGTTCCTGAATATTGTTTGCTACATCCTTTTCTCCTGCCTCCTCCTCTGATTCGCCTTGTTCTTCTTGTTCTTCTTGTTCTTCTTGTTCTTGTTCTTCTTCTTCTTGTCTTCTTCGCCATCTTCTTCTTCACCATCTTCATTTTAGATAGTTGCTTCAGAGGATTCTTCATTATCGCTCTGGGAAATTTCCGATTGAGCTCCACTTCCAGTCGCAGAATCTACAAGAACATTTAACCCCGTCTCCTCCGGAGCCGTCGCATTCTCCGGAGCCATCGCATTCTCTGGAGCCGTCGCATTCTCCGGAGCCGTCGATGAGGGTGGAGAGGTCTTCCTTACAAACTTCACTTTTAAACCCTTCGTTTTCACCTTTTTTCACAGCTTTTGCCTTTTCCTCTTCCTTCGTTTGTTTCTCTTCGTCAGTTTGTTTCCGCTTATCCAACCTTGTTTCTACCATCTTTGACAGATCGATCTCCCTCCGGTGATTCGATTGAGTGGAGTTAGTGAGTGATGAGTTCGTCGATTTTGAAAGAGAGAAATGAGATAGAGAGGATCTCGATTTGGTTTTGTTTGAGAATAGAAACTAGGGTTTTCTGTTTTAATTTTAAAATTTGGGTGGATGGGTTTTCTAAAACCGACATATTTGGTTTGGAAAGCTTGGTTAGACTGGTTAAATGGTTAGACCATTTCGATTTGATTGAATTCCCAATTTTGTCGGATCGGGTGGATTATATCCAGGTACAAATTGTAAATATCTCAACTTGTCACGATTTTTGTCTCATTTACATATTTTCCGAATTTAAAATAATTAATTTTATTTTCTGTTTTTAGATGGGTCTTAGGGAGATTGAGTTTTGAGATTTGGGGGCTATATAGGAGATGCCTCGTTGAGAACTTGAAGATAAATTATTGTTTAGGAAATAGAAGGAAAAAGCCTTTTGATGGGTCTTTTTGTGGTTTGAGCTCACAAACTTTTTGTTCATACTAATGAATGCTAGAAACCTTTTTTCTGATCAATTTGGAAGGGGTTAGAAAAAAAGAAGATGGGCCGTGAAATTGGGCTTTAGGTTTAAACACTCCACCGTGAAGCACAAAGTGGAAACCTTTAGGATCCGCAACCTCACCGAATTCAAATCATGACGACTGAGTTCGGCATCGTCTACGCCGGCCACATCATCACCTCACACTTCGGTTCCGTCGTCTCGGTTAACTTTGAAACCCTTTCGGAGATTATTATGCTTTCTGTATAATGAATTTAGTATTATTAAAGTGATGATATTGCAGAAAGTGTGCGACTGTCTTCTCCGAAGAGGACCTCTCTCCTCCCGAGAGATCTCTCGTCTTGCCGAATCTGACATCAATCATAACAAAGTCAAGGATATTCTCTCCCTCTTGATTCAGCACAACTGTGTTCAAGCTTTCTCTGTTGAACCGCCCGGTTAGTCCCGGTTCTCTTGTCACCTTCGGATTCTATAAATAAAATATTGTGTTTTTTTCTAATGTTCTTAGCGTTAGAATAGCAGTGATGATAGCTTTGTTAGATAACAGTTTTCTCTTTTGGTTTTAAAATTCTATTGCATTTCTGATTGTTTGATTTAAAATCTATAGTAAGTTTTTCTTGTCATGTGTTCTTGCAAGGATTTTTCGAAGCTTCTTTTTCATATAATTCGACGTATCCTTCAACTTTGTCATTTAGTAGCAAACGCAGAGAGAGATGATGACTTTTTGAAATTATGACATGTAGATGGTTCTGAGAGCAAAGCTACTGTACAGTACATTGCGCTGTTTAATAGCATTCTTCATCGTGAGAGGTATAGCAAGTTTTCTAAGGTTGTAAAGGAAGAGCTTGGGCCTGAGGTTTGATTCCTTCGTTCTGAACAGTCTCTTCTGACTAACTTAATAACCGTGCCTTACTCTTACACTGTTGATTTATTTGTACAGTGTGTTGACGTTCTTGACGGTTTACTTAGTAATGGTAGGCTTACCTTGGAACAGATGATAGATAGAGACAGAGACAGAGGTGAGTCCTGTTCTCTTGCTCTATAACTGCTATTGTTTACTCTTATTGCTCTAGGCATAAGGTTTTGGTCTTTTTGTATCTCATTTAATCGCAATTTATTTCTCCAACCCTCTGTGACCTAAGATTTTTTCATACATGATCAGATTCAAAAGGTTCAGAAGTGATCAAAGATTCTCTTGAAAAGTTGGTTGCTGCACGTTTTGTTGAGAGAGTTCCTTCTCCTGAACCTGTTCTTGGTAACAAAGAAGAAGGGCCAGCAAAGAAAAGAGGCGGCAAAGCTTCCAAAGTAATTCATACGACGTTTGCACCGACATGAATCTCAGTTCGGTTCTTATTCTTTTCGATATTAATGAACAATCTTTCGGAACCGTTGCAGATCTTTAAAGAACCAGAAACCTTAGAGGAACGTGTTCTCGAGGCAGCAACTCCAGTTGACGCAATAAGGTTTCCATTTATATTCGAGCAAGATTCAAGTTCAACTTTAGCAGATGAGGATAGCAACATCTCTGAGGGGAAGGTATCAATCAGCATTCTTACCATAACTAGTTTTGGTTATTATATAAGCATACATATTCACAACGATGTAGCACTAAATATGTCTTTTGTTTTGATGTTTCTCTTTGAACCGAAATGTATTTTAGCGTAAACAACCTGAAGTGGACTCATCAGGTCCGAGCAATGAAGTAATCTGGCGTCCTAATTTCGAGGAGCTCATCCGCCGCCTTAGACATAAGGTACATGTTCGTATTTTTTATATATATTTTTACCTAATCCATCACTATTATTAATCTTTTGATCATCTGTTTCTTTTTCTTAAGGCGTGTGTGGAGATAGTGAAAGAGAGGAGAGATGAAGGATGTGCCAATGTCTTGAAGGCAATGCTAGAAGTAGGAAGATCACAGGAGAAGAAGGCGAAACCCGACAAGTCCGGTAAAATCTGAGATGCTGTCTTTATTTCACTCATTTCACTAAAGCTCCCATCGTTTTTGGTGCGATTTATTTGATCATATTACACCTATATTCTTTTCAGTTCCGGTGTCAATGGGTTCCATATATGAAGAGCTTATAAAGACAGAAGCAGGCCGTGAAATGACACAAGAGCGAGTTGAAGCATGCCTTGAACAGTTGAGTGCAACGTCATCTTATCTGCCAGCGTTTGTGATAGAATCAGATGATTCATACATAGTTGGTATAGTAACTTCCTTCTAACTCCTGGTTTACTGATACTTTGGATTTGAAACTTATTTCGTTCTTTTCATTTGCAGATTTTAAATCCATTATCAGCGTAGCACAGAAAGATGAGGTGTGTTCCATATATATTTTTCTTTTCCTGAAAACATTTCTGAAACTGAAAAAAATAGAGATATTTCGGATGTTTTTAGATGGAATCAGTAGTTATGAGAAGATATGGGAAAGAAGCTTTCAGAATGTTCAGATACTTATCACAGGAAGACCGTTTTGTTGAGACTGATAAGGTTAGTGACCCTGTTTAATATAGAAACGTCCATAAGTAATATTGGTTTCTTAACTTCACATCAAATTTTTTCTCTTAAGATTGCTGATGCCGCACTGACTGAAAAGAAAGACACTCCGCAAATCCTTTTGAAGATGTGGAAAGATGGTTACTTACATATGCAGGTATGAGAATTTCTTTTGCCAAGTTGAAACCAAATCTTATAAAAAAGTAGGTTGATCTGAGATTCTTGGTTGGTCCTCTTTTTTTGTTTTGTTTTAGAAATTAGCGGTCACGGGAGTGTACATGCCATTCCTATTGTGGAAGGTAAATAAGCTGATTGTGTCGAGGCAAATGTTGGATGAGATGTATCATGCTTCCTTGAACTTGAGTCTCAGGCTGACCCATGAGAAGGGTTCGGAGAAAGAGGTTAGACTCGCACTTAAGATCTTTGATGGCGTTTTGAAGATAATCCCTAATATAAATTGTTCTTTTCTTTTTCTGTGTGTGGGGCAGTTGTTGTTGCTGCCAATGGAGAAACTAGAAGGAGCATTGAAGGAGAGACGAAATAAGTACAGAGCTAAGAGTGTGTTGCTCGCTTCAACTAAGTTTAAACTTGATGATGCTATTATGCTTTTTCATGACTTCTAGCTTCTAAGATTAAAGAACAAGAACACCATTTCCATTTTCCTTTATTTAATTTGTTTGGTTGGTCTGGCTATGGTTTTCCTTCACATTGTCTACGTTATCCTATCTTGTAACATTTTTTTTTTTTGTTATTTATTAGGGAGGTATTCACAAGTTGGAACTTTGAAAACGTGATTGATATTGTTTCGACACATGTTTAGGGTACTTTTTGCATTAATATTTCTCTAATTCACAAGTTGGAACTTTGAAAACGTGATTGATATTGTTTCGACACATGTTTAGGGTACTTTTTGCATTAATATTTCTCTAATTCATATCAACCAAAAGAGAAAAGTAGGTTAGTGGTTTAAAAGAGTCGCTTAATCTGATCAAATGTTCATTAATGCTTTTATTGTATGTCTTTCAAAGCTTTAGCTCATTCACCCCCACGGAGATGCATTGTTGTGAAGATATCTTTGGCCAAGACAAGCCCTACGTGTCTCTCAAATACTCTACTCCTCAATTTCACTTTCTTTTTGTCTACTCCATATGCAGTAGCCTGTTGACTATATAACCTTCTGGCTTTTCAGTTCTCCAAAGGTTTAGTGTTAAAGGTTTCCATTTCAGTGTTAAAAGAGTATATAGTAGGGCATTTACTTGCAGGTTGATCCCATTAGCTGACATAAACCCCACTCTGGTATCTGTAAAAATTAACAAGATTGAACCCTCCAAGGCAAGGACAATGCCATCTGCGAGAGGTGAGTTGTGGGTCATGACTCTCATTCTTCTTTGGACAGTAATGTTCAGGATAAATCATTACTAAAAACCCAATACCGTAATTGACGTATTTCTAAGAATTGAAAAGATTTTCTAAAACAAATGATTATAGAAAAAAAGCAGCAAACTTCTAGGAAGAATAAAGTAAAATATTTTTTTCCATAATCCAGCAAGGATATAACTGATGAAACAAACAAAAAAAAGTCTGATACACAAAAAAAAAACCAAGATCCAAACGATAATTAAGTAAAATTTCTTAAACCTAACAAGGATCCTTACTTCTTCTCTTCTTTCTCAGCATCAGCAGCTCTCTTGGCTCTAGCACCAGCATGTCTCTTGTTTGTGCGCTCTAGACGGATCTTGTCATAAGCCTTGAACGATTTCATCTCAGAGGTAAGCTTCACAAGCTCCATCGTAGGCTTCTCACGCACAATAGGCATGTAATCTCCCTGGACTTGAGTGGCATTAGCCAACTCTTCTGGAGTAGAATCACCAGCCTGAAACAAAAGAAGTAAATAAAACTCTTGACAACAACAGATCTAAAATCCAATCTATAGAAATTGGTTGTACGAAGTAGTTACCTTGACCTTCCTGGCACGACGAGGGAAGATGACCAACTTAGCCTTGTAGGTTTTCAGCCTCTGGACATTGGATTGAAGACCCTCCAAAGATCTGTTCTTGCGACGATGGTCCACTGAGATACCGATGGTGGGTGCCAATTTCTTGGGGATACCAGCAGCCTGATTCAATCAAAGATAACTAAACAACCTGAACAAAATATACAACAGGAAGTGAAACATGAAGACAGAGAGAGATCACAAACCTTAAGCTCTTCAAGAGTGAAACCTTTACCGGTTCTGACCTTCATGTTGTACTTGAGAGTCTGACCATGCACAACAGGGCGTAGAGGTCCAGCGGTGGGACGGGGGAAGATCTTCACAGCCTTCTTCTGTCTCGCTGAGTTAGCATAAAAAGAAAACATGTTGGATTAATAAAAGACAGAGAAACTATGCTTTTAACTATCAAATGAAACATAGCACATCACTAACCAGCTCTTCTTCTGGTTTTCCTAGCAGGCTGGTTAAACCATGTCTTGACATAGTTCTGCCAGTGCTTCTTGAAATGACCATTTGGGATAACATTGTTGTGCTTCATTTCTTCAGCTCAGCTGCAATGTGCAATGTAGAAGTAATCATCAGCATTTAGATTCAAATCACATTATGTAACTTCACACTGCAAGGCTAGGCCTTTAAATGATATAGCAAAACATCGAACAAGGAAAACAGCCAAGAAACTTATAATATCTTAAAGGATCTGGAACACAATTGTCAGCGACCAATCTCAAATCTATTAAAGAACTTGACAAACCCAATCAGTAGTCCTAATCATCCCAAGGATGATACTTTCATAAACCCACTAAAGCAAAAAAAAAAAACAGACAACACAATCAGCGAGCTCAAGAAAACGTTTATATCAAGACAGTAAGACATGGAACCTACATTCCAGGAGCTAGACAAAACATAAGAAGATCGAATTGGGAGAAAACTGATAAACGCCTTTTTCTGCGTGGTTCCAACGATAGTTCTCACTACAAAAACAAAGGGGACAGAGACGAGAAGTTAAGATGAAGAGTACTCACAATGTCACTGAAGAAAGCTTTCTTTTCTCCTGCGGCGAGACGAGAGCAAATGTCTAGGTTTCTTTGATGATTAGCTAAAGGTATTTAAATACTAAAACCCTAATAGATATCTGTTGTCACTTTCTCTGATTGGGCCTTCACCTTAACGAGCCGACTTAAAAAGCCCATTAAATTAATAAAGCTCACAAGCCACAGAAGACTTTTTTCCTAATTGTGGTTTAATTACGTACGTAATTGGGCCTTTTCTTAAAAGGGCGAGATAAGATAAACCCGTTAGTAATAAGCGTTCTATGTAAAATTGTTGAATTCGGTTTCAATTCAAGACAATCACAAACCGATCGGTCTCATTCATTATTCGGCTTTTGTGACAAATTAGGGTTTTGTCGCTTGCTGTTTCTTTTACTAATCAAACACAATGGAATGGTTTTGAAGCTGAACAGTCCCCATCATCATCTCTAAGCTTTAGCCGAATTTGTGTTCTGAAAATGGAACCAAAATGGTACGCTTCTGTATTTCGTTTATGTTCTAATTCTCTAAGCCCCTAAAATTCTTAAATGTTATATTTTTCCGACAGCAAAATCGGTGGTGAGAGTTCGAGAAAAGGATATGTAGTGAATGAGGACAAACTCAGTGCATTACCTGATGATTTACTTATGCGGATATTATCTCCACTTCGAACAGAAGATGTGATGTACACGAGTTTTTTGTCTAAACGTTGGAGATATCTTTGGAAGATGGTACCAAACCTCAAGTTTGATTCTTATTACTCCTATGCATTTTCGGAGCATGTGTACAGGTCTCTGGCTTTACATAAAGCTCCCTTTCTCGAGCGTTTGCATTTAAAAATTAAACATAAACGCGATGCTGTCGATGTTGGAATATGGCTTGGAGTTGCATTTTCTCGTAACTTGCGTCAACTGGTCCTCAGCGTTTTTTTTATGACGGACGACTTAATCAGATTCCCTGGTGTTTTGTGTAGCTGGAACAATACACTTGAGTTCTTGAAACTCAAACATTGCATTCTTCTAAGCTTTCCTTCTAGGGTTTGCTTGATGTCTCTTAGAAAACTGCACCTTCACTATGTGATGTTCAAAGACGAAGAATCTGTTTGCAACCTTTTATCTGGCTGCCCTAGACTTGAAGATTTGGTCGTTTTTCGAGGAAGCTATGTAGATGTGAAAACTTTCACCATTGATGTGCCATCATTACAAAGACTAACCATGGAAGAAGATAACCCAGTGGAAAGAGATGGTGGAGGTTATGTGATAAATGCTCCTTCTTTGAAATACTTAAACATGTCAGGGTTCGTTGGCCGTGAGGTTCTACTGATTGAGAATTTACCAGAACTGGTAGAGGCAAAAATCGTTGACGTTTACAATGGCCCTGTTCGTTTCTCCATTCAAATGATCCATTCGAATGGAAATGAACTTTGTGTTCGTTTAGACACAAAAAGAACAACTCATTCGGATGGATCATTTGAATGATTTTTAAAAAATTAGGTTTAATTTCAAAAACCAGTTGACTGAACCGAATTGAATCATTTGACTGGAACTGGTTCAGTCAAAATATCAAAATGGATTGTAAGGTAAGTCTCTCTTTACTTTTTGCACCTAATTTTAAATCGTTTTCTCTGCCCATTCTTGTATGATAATGCTGACCAGATCATTACTTATAGCATACATTTTAAAACGAATTTATGATGGCGAGTAGTACTAGTATGATACGCAAGACATGTTAATATTTTGTAACGTTTCTGTTTCATTGTAAAACAGATTTCCAAAATTCTGTAAAACATTGTATGATACGCAGGACATTGTAAAACTGATTTCCAAAATTCTGTTTAGCTATGCTTATCTGTGTTCGTTTGTCACAGAAGAAGGCTGCCTATGTATTTGGTACTGGTTTAAAGAACGTTGTTTTGTTTCCTATCCTATTGTTACAGTTATATATACGTTTGTGAGTCTGATAAGTGTTGAGTGAGTTTGATAGTTTGATGTTCTAGGATCTTTATCAATCTCTGAGTTTAGGCTACATTGTTGTATTTTGTAGGACATATTAAGACTTCTAATTGAAGACGATGAGCTTGATGTGTTATTTGATGAGAATCAGTACATGTACACTCTTATAGATGAAATGTTTGGAGCAACAGAAGCTGGTACTGAGAGGAAATCAGTGAGGACAAACCGAGGTGAAGGTTGGCGACGCGTGCAACGTTTAATGAACGAGTCTGAGGTAAAATGTTATGAGATTCTGCGGATGAACCAGGAAACATTCAAGAGTTTGTGCAAGATTCTAGCAGAAAAGTATGGGTTAAAGGAGACTCGCAATGTCTACGTTGAGGAGAGTGTTGCAATGTTCATAGAGACGGTTGCACAAGACGCAACTGTACGGGTTATTGCAGAGCGTTATCAGCATTCAAACGACACTGTGAAAAGGAAGCTACAAGAGGTATTAGCTTCTCTCTTGAAGCTTGCATCAGATAATGTAAAACCGAGTAGGAATGAATTCACAAATGCTAGTCCTTTTCTAGTAGGAAATCCACAGTATTGGCCTTACTTTAGGAACTGCATAGGTGCTTTAGATGGAACTCATATTCCTGTTCGTCCACCTGTTGGAAATGTTGAGCCCTTTAGAGGTAGAAAAGCTGAAGCAACCATGAATGTGCTGGCTATTTGTAATTTTGAAATGAGATTCATTTACGCTTATGTTGGAGTTCCCGGGAGAGCACATGACACGAAGGTTTTAACATACTGTGCTACTGAGCAAGCTTCTTTTCCTCACCCACCAGCTGGAAAGTATTACTTGGTCGACTCAGGTTACCCAACCAGGACTGGTTACTTAGGTCCTCATCGTAAAACTAGATACCATATAGATCAGTTCAACAGAGGAGGTCCACCGTCAAACACTATGGAATTGTTCAACCGCAAGCACTCCGGTTTAAGATCGATTATTGAGAGGACTTTTGGTGTGTGGAAAGCCAAGTGGAGAGTTTTAGATAGAAAACATCCGAAGTATGGGTTGAGGAAATGGATAAAGATTGTAACAGCAACAATGGCCCTCCACAACTTTATTCGAGATTCTCAATGGGAAGATAGAGATTTTTTACATTGGGAAGGAGTGGAATCATATGAGCAACATGGTGATGACCAAGAACAAGAGCATGTTCAATACGTTCCAGCGGGTGATAGAGTGATGGAGAGTATACGCCACTGTATTACTATGGAGATGGGAAGAGGAACTCGGCTTCCTTACTAGCATCATACATGTATGAGTCTTGGTCATTCTCTGAGTTGAAATATTGATGGGTTAGCTTGGTTTTGAGAATGTCTAGTTGATAGTAAATGTACTGTCTAGCTTGGTTGTGAACGTACTCTCTAGCTTGGTTTTGATAGTTGATAGTAAATGTACTGATTCAGCATTGTTTGAGGTTGATTGAAGCTTGCTTGCTAGTTTGATAGTACACTTTCAGTGTGGTTTATGTGTAGTTTATGAGTTGTTGCTTGGACTGAAACACTGAATTTTGGGCTTCCTGTTCTCACGAGCTCTGGTGCCATGTAGCCGAAAACACGTTCCTGTTCTCACGAGCATTGAGAAGGTTACTTGTGGAGCATTGAGAAGGTTACTTGTGGAGCATTGAGAAGGTTACTTGTGGAGCAAGAAAAACATGAGTCTATACTTTGGGTTTTATGTGTGGAGCATTTAAATTTATGTGTTTCTAATTTGAATTGTTTTGAAGTTTATTTCAAATTTGAGTATGTACTTTGAGTTGTTGGGAAGTTATTCAAATTTGAGNTGTGTGGAGCATTTAAATTTATGTGTTTCTAATTTGAATTGTTTTGAAGTTTATTTCAAATTTGAGTATGTACTTTGAGTTGTTGGGAAGTTATTCAAATTTGAGTTTTAACTTTGAGTTTTATTAGAAGTTATAAATTTTAATACAATTTAAATAAATGAATGAATATATGATTTTTTTATAAATTAATCTGAAATAAAATTTTATAAATGTCAAAATGATAATTTTAAAATAAATTTAGTGTAAATATATTTTATACTAATTAATATTAATTAGTATAGCTAAACTTAATAGCAAACATTTAATTAAATTAACATAAGGGTATATTTGTAATTTGTTTATCAAGTTCATTTGAATGGAGATAAAAAAAAAGAAACAAACATGAAATTCATTCAAATGGTTCATTCAAATGATTCATCTAAATGGAAAAACGAACAACCCAAAAAAACTGAATGAATCATTTGAATGAATCACATAAATGGATCATTTGAATGGATATTACAAATGGAGAAACGAACAGGCCCAATATAGCTAATGAGAACATTCTGGCATCTCTTACTTCAGCCACACGGCTTTGCTTACACTTATCACCCTTAGAGGTAATTTTAAAGATTTGAAGCTTTATTCTTGACAATTTTTTTTACATAGTGTACTAAGATTTTCTTCGTGCACAGATCAAGTATCCTACGACAGGTAGTATCTTCTGTCAGCTGGTATCACTGGAGATATGTACATGTAAAAAAGAGTGGTGGAATCTACTTGCACGCATGCTGGATAGTTCCCCTAAACTGCAAATCCTCAAGCTGGTCCCTGTAAGTCATTTTTTTAGCCAAGCTACTTTGTTTTCACAAGTATTTTTGATGATCTAAAGATTATCTTAATTGCATTGGTTTTAGCCATGTGATTTAAGGGATGAAGATTGTCCTGTGAGTGGAGATTGGAACCAGCCAAAATGTGTACCAGAATGTTTGTTGTTCCATCTTGAAACATTCGTGTGGAAAAGATACAAATGGCAACGAGAAGATGAGAAAGAAGTGGCCACATACATTCTACAAAACGCAAGACAGTTGAAGAAAGCAACTTTGTCCACTAAACCCATCAAAAGCTCGAGAAGTTGGGAAAGAGACGTGAGATGCTCAACGAGTTGGCTGATGTTGTCAGGGCTTCTTCAAATTCATGTCACCTCGTGTTCAACTTTGAGGGATGATCTCTTGAAATTTTATTATGCTGTTTTGGCCATTGGACATGTGCATTTCTAAACCTTTTCAGGAGATCTAAAACTTGATTTTTTAAGAAAAAATATTCAGATATTTTTTTTGGGCAAACATGCTTGATTGAAATCTAGTAAAAACAAAGGGTTCATTGCTCATCCACAGACCGGGGGATCTAGATCATTAAAGTAACTAGAGATTTTTCCGGGCTACTCCCGGATTATTTTCCATAAACTTCAATTTTTTTATCTTATTTTATAGTTTTTGTTTTTGTATATAGCTTTTATATTTAGGGTAACTACTTTATTTCAATTATTTGGATTTTAATTTTATTTTATGTGATAGTTTTGGGGAATACAATTTCCGAACTATTGAAATTCAATATCAAAAAATATATATAAGCTTGTAAGCATAAGTTGTATAATCTTCTATGAAATAATTAGAGTTTAATTTTTTTTGTAACCAATTGTCAGAAAAGGCGTGATGCATTAGTAGTATATATATGCATTTAAACTCCTCCTTTATAAAGTTGAAAATAAATAATCATTCCAATAACAGTATTATTCTTTTTGAGCAAAATAGTTTTAAGGAGTTGAATTTTAGTTGGGTCTAACGGAATTATATGATATCAGTAATGAAATGTAATAGTTAAAAAAAACTAACAAATTTTAACAATTCATAGGTGTAGTAAGGATTTTATGATATCAGTTCCTAAATATTTAAAGATGAGTAATTAACACATATCAGAGGCGCAAGGGTGGTTTGAAAATCATAACAATAAGCAATTACCATTCATAAATGGTGAAATTATATAGATAAACTGTTTGGAAAGGGAAAGAACTCTAAAAGATGCAAACTGAAAGAAAACTAAACTGAGAAAAAATAGAAACTTAATTTGGACAGAACCATTCAATCCTTGATAAACATGCACTCATTTAGGGGTTTTGGTTCGCCCTACGGGCAGAAAGTTATAGTAAAAACTATTATATATTTATTTATTTAATTTTATGAAGCATTAAATCATGGGGTTTTTGCAAAACCAACCTAAAATTTCAAGTCAAACACAAAACCAACCTCTTTTTTTTTGTCCATTACTATTCACTCTTAAAAAACCTAAACTCTCCTCATGTTTCCACTTACTTACCAAATTGCCATTATTTTTAAATCTGATTTTATTTTCAAAAATTATTAAAAACCTATTACACCCTAAACATTTCTCCTTATTTACCATAATGCCATTGTCATCAATATTTGCAACCACCCAAAACCACCATTGATGAGCTCTTTAAGCTTGTGTTTATGAAATTTCAACCACTTATTTCACTTTCTAAACAAACAATACTTCATTTCCTCTCTATTTTCATCTAAACAATCCTCATANATGCCATTGTCATCAATATTTGCAACCACCCAAAACCACCATTGATGAGCTCTTTAAGCTTGTGTTTATGAAATTTCAACCACTTATTTCACTTTCTAAACAAACAATACTTCATTTCCTCTCTATTTTCATCTAAACAATCCTCATAACTCTCATTTTCATAAACACAAACTTCATAATTTCGATTTTATCCACAAGTAGATCGTAAAGGTTGCTTCTTTTGCTCATATTTGGATTCTGGACGGTGGAAAAGCTTGGAAACAAGCTTTAAACCGTTGTCAAGGTAACTCTTTACATGTTTTTCGTCATATCTCTGATCTGTATCGCGAAAGTAGACTGTATTATATGTCTACACATACGTGTAGACTTACGATGCAGTCTACTTGTCAACGCACAGGTTACTTTTGCAATTGACCAAAATAATTTTTTTTGTAATGTAGACCTACAAGTACGTCAACATCTTTACCTTTGAAACCAAAAACAAAAAAATTGGTAGAC